AAAAAAAAAAAAAGAAAAATATTATTTCGTAAATGCATTATAATACTAATCGAAAAAATGATGTTCATTTGCGAGGATGAACGAATAATCGACGTCGTCGTAGAAATCTTTTTCGAGAGACGTTATTGTTTCGTTTATTATCTCATTTAAATATTCTCATATCCTTATTATTTATTTATAGATTTTTTTTTCCCCTTTGACTTATCACGATGCACGTTTTTCCTATTGTTGTTTAACGGAATTTCGGGAAAACCAATCGTTCGTTTTTGTTATCAGGCTTCGTAACAAAGAGCCGAGTGAGAACATCGTGAAAACACTCTTTTACGCGATACTTTGATCATTGTGATATTTGGAAATTTAGATAACAAATATTATTTTTTCTCTCTTTCTCTCTCTCTCTCTCTCTTTCTCGAATTACTTCTTTCTCCCGTTCACTTTTCGTAAACAAATCGCGGATCGCCATCCCTCCATATTGGTTAGAATGGAACGATTCGAATCGTTGATTCGATTCCGTTCAGCGATTTATAATCGATTTAATCGATATAGAGAAAGTTGATATTAAATTCGTTTGAACGTGAATCGAGTATTTTTCATTTTTTTTTTTTTTTTTTTTTTGAAAAAAAAAAGTAGAAAATACTTGTGATACATGTTTCCATGATAACCATCGTGTATTGTAAACGAAAAATTGAAAATCGAGGGATAACCGCGACCGCGTAAAATATGTACACACCTGCGCGTACATTCGACAGATATAATGCTCGTTAAAAAGGAAAAGTAAGAGAAAAAAAGGAAAAAAGAAGGAAAAATAAACGATTATGATACGCTGGCGTATCATTTGAAAATTTCTAAAATAAGATTACTAAAAATTTATTTCTTTTTTTTTTCCCTCTTTTTTTCTTTCTTTCTCGTATATGTATATGTACATGTATCAGCAATTATATTTTAACAAAGTATGCTCGTTTGGTAAATAAAGTTCAAAAAAAAAAAAAAAAAAAAAAAAAAAAAAGAAAAGAAACGAAAAAGTGTATAATAAAGAGAAGAAAAAAAAAAAAGTGTCGGGGATTGTTCGCTTTGTTCGCGATTACAACAAATCTAATTATCCTAATACATTACTTGTATTTGTTTATAATATACCACGTAACAACAAGGAAAAAATACTGAATTACACGAGGGCGCCATGTTTAAAGGCGCGCGCACATACACACGCACACACGCGAACCCCATCGATGTTTTCTTTGTTTATTGGCAAAATACGATTTATAATACTTGTCACTGGTAAGTTTGCACGATCTTGCTAAATCTATCGGATTGCTGGACGCAATGTTAAATCGCGGTCATTCGCGATAATTGGTGAATTCATTATCGACCATATTGACGTTGAATTTTCACTTTTTTTTCCCTTGAGAAATGTTGTTGAACAATCTCGAACAATATCGTCCTTTTTTTCGTGTAAAAACAGCGCGAAAGTCACAAAAGTCATTGATCGATGAAATACAGAAGAAAAAAAAGAGTGAGCAAATGTTTTGAAAAACGAAATACAAATTTCATTTCGATTCTTTTTCGTCTTTAACCGAATAACTATTTATCGCATTTAATACGGTAATACTATAATACGATGTTTTGTTATTCATGAAAAGAGATAGTCATCACTCGTTCTTCTTTTCTTTCATTCTTTCGAAATATAAGATCTAAAAAAATATATATATATATGTGTATATATAAGACCATGTATGACCATCATCATCATTATCAAACCATCATGACATCGAAACAATGATAATATTAATTTTATTTAATTTTTCGGATATTTGCCAATCTTCGCGCTGTCATTCGATATTCTTGTGCTATGTTTGTGAGAATTTTAAATTATTCATGGGGCATAAAAATATCACAAATTAACTTACAGAAACTCACAGAAATTATAATATTCATTGAAGTCTTGTTACATAACGATCGTCGTTTTACCGCACGTTCAACTAATCACAATTCTTTCTATTCTCGTGCGTGCATTTCAATTGAAAGTACCATCTATTGAAACGTACAAATATGTGTTTAAAAATTAATTATACAAAATGATGGAAAAAAAAGAAAAGAAAAATTGCATTTTCTTTTGTGAAAATTTCTTCTCGATAAAAATGATGAAATGTGTATGTAATGACTTGAATGTAATTGACTAACAAAATACAATTATTCTTTATATGGAAAGAATTTCACTAAATTTTAATATTAAAGGAAAATTGTTGATTCAATATAATCAAATATTAGAAAAATTATATTGATATCTATCAGTGATGAGCAATCATTATTGATCGATTAAATTATTTCAAAATTAGTTTATCTAAAAGTGATAGATATAATGATTAGCTATGAATAAAAAATAAAGAGGAAGACAAATTATTAAATGTCTACATATTAGCACTTTGGTGCATAACAATGTGTACACACAGCATACACACACACATATACACACATACACACACATGCACGCAGGCAGACACACAGCGTATACGAAAGTATGCACGCACACTTTCTTTCTTTTCGATGTATATTTACATATGATTAACGCGTTCTGTTGAATATAAAATACCTGTGCG